CATGTTCGTATCTATTGCGGTTACCGAGATATCAACGCTCGTACCTCGAATTTGTACCACCATGTATTATACAGGTCAAAAAGATGAAAATTAAAAATAAAATCTTTTTATAGGCGGGTACAATAAAAAATGCTTATATTTTTGAAATAGTTTATTAAAGCCATATTTGCGATGATCGGCCTTAAAGTACAATACATAAACAATCACACATTAAATTAAACAAAATTTTATCTAAAATAACCATTGTCTTAATTTTTATAAGAGAGTAATACAAACATTACCATGAGTCAATATAAATAAAATATTCTTTGGATACAGTGCAGTCTTCAAGATAAAACAAGATAATAAATAAACTTAGTACATTCAATTATTAATGTACATAACCAGATTTCACTATAAAAGTTTTATATTCCTTTACTGAATTAGTTCTAAAGTTATATTACAAGTTATAACTTCAATTTAGACAAACAATATCTTCAATTGAAAAATATCAGCCCGTTACAGAAATCAGATTGTAGTGACAGTGACAGAACGCTATTATTCAACTTCTCTTAAAGTGTATAATATAATTTACAAATTATATAGTATAAACCAAGGAACTAAGGAAGATTTCGACACGCGACATTCAAAAAATGACAGAAAATACAATTTACCTGCGAATTAAACTGACAGAGAATTAAACTGTCACTGTCACATACGATCATTTCGTTGGACAGCCACATATATATACTTTAGAAGTTATATAAAACTTTTAATAATAAAAGCGGGTTATATTAGAACTTTTCTAGGGTTAAAATAGCAATATTTACAATGGGTTTTAAACAAAACCAATGAATGGGGCAAAAAATGGCATATTAATGTAATTTTGCGGCATTAAGTTACTAAATTCGTCAAAAAATCGATGTAACAAAAATAATATGGCACAAATAAAAAAATATATTTTGTAATACAGAATTGAAACAAGTATTCAATTTACTATCTGAAAGGTGCTTTCTTTCTACACAAATTATGAACATTCTATTTTAACTAGCTGAATATATGATTTGATATTTGTATTTGTACGTTTATATACAGATAAAGCATCAGTCCAATTATGTTTAAGACAGCACATATATTTTGGTAGTATAATTTTGAGGTAAACAAACAAAAAATACAGTTTGTTAATACAGTAGTTTTAATCTTTTATGGCGATTAGTATACACTGTCAAACCCGAAAATTTTTCTATTTTTCTTTATTTGATTTAGTATTTTAGGATTTAAAAAACGCATGTACTATCGCCAATTCTGAATATCTGTTTTTTTATTCTACTTGTTTTAATATATACAGATGATTAATAATATCTATAGATTCTCAAGTTCTATTAAGTCTGACGTATATGTCATAGAACATATAAAAATAAATTAATATCACTAACAAACTTACTTATTACTAACAACTAACACTTACCAAAAACTTACACAGGAAATTTAATATAAAATAGAGAACGACAACTAAAACTAATTTTGAAAAATGAGATTTTTAAATAGAAAAGTACCAACTAATTACATTGATTGGCATGAAAATCGGCCATGACACTGTCCTTGCCGAATTTTATGTAAAATGACCTCCTGAATCCAAATATGACTTCTATTTTTCCCTATAACCCCCCGTTTTTAGGGAGATCGCCGTCATATTATAATAAAACCAACGTGATCGATTTTTCCTTTTTTTTTATCGCTTTTTTACATATTTCAGCTTCCAGCTGTTAAGCTTCCATAGTAGGTAATAAAATCATGGCTATTAGAGTATGCAGCACATACAAAACGGTATCTCGAAATGCTATAGGGTTATATTTGAAATAGCACCTATTGCACTGTTCATACAGGAACGGTACGATAGCTACCATGGGTAAGGATCTAGCGAGAACAAAACTTTTCCAACAGTGGCACGACAAATGGAATACCGGAATATATGGCAGATGGACATACAAGTTAATACCCGACATTCAATTATGGTTGAACAGATCATACGGCAAAGTGGATTACTTCATGACATTTAATTAACTGTCCTCCATTCACGCAGTTGTGCAGCTCTGAACTGTTCAAGAACGCGATACTCTCCCTCCATTCAATTGAGTCATAAAGTTCGGAACTGTTCCGCGCCGAGATCCCTTTTCCCCTCGAGCACCTTCCTGTAAATTAGTGCTCGGAGTTCCCAGCTATTTTAGTGAGGTTAAGAATAATGGTTGACGGTTGACAACTTTTTTTGGTTTCCCATTTAAAAATTATGGAGATATGGAGAAACCAATATCCAGTTTATCCGTCTTAAAACATCCTTTGGGATTAACTTTTTCAAGTTTGTCAATGTTTTCAACTTGACAATTGACATGTTTAGGCACCAGTCTATCGCGCACAGCTCTTTTCAGAACCATTCTCGAGTAGCCCAGCCTTAAAGATCTGGAATTTGAAATTCGTGACTGAAGGACAGTAATTAAAACTTACTTCATTTACATTAAGACTCAGCAGGAATGGTGCCAGGGCTCGAGTTTTTTGCGCAGACCAGTGTTGTTTCAAGATAACTGACTAAAGATACTAATTAATTATATAAAGATCCAAATTAAACGAGATTAACTACTCTAAATACATAATATACAGAAAAAAGTAAAGAAAATCATATTTTTTCGTAACTATGTAAGTTTTCAGCATTTTCATATACATATATTTTTCTAAGGCCTAAGGCAAGTGAATTAACTTGTTCTAAGATCTACTAGTTATAAAAACCCGACTTCACCAAACGTCGCCATTATATAAACTAATAGTTTGTGAATACCACAATTGTATTTTTCAAAAATATACCAAATATTTATTGTTGTTGCAATTAGTACCAAATTTTACTTAACTGTTTTTAGTGGAAAAATAAAATTGGGATTCTCTTTTGGAATCAATTTATTATTAATGGCAATAAAAACGTTATTTTAATAAATTTATGAAAATTAAAAATTACACAGATCATACAATAAACACCCAAATATTTACATTACTCATAGGACGGGGTGTCGTACAACAGATATACCTACTTGTGATATCCATTGGAATAAATATCATACATAGATATCCAAAAGAAATAGTTGATGGAACGTCATTGGTTTCTGGTTAGAAATTGGCTTCAGTTTTCAAAATCAAAAACTTATATGGTGGGCTCAGCAAAATAAAATAAAATTAGAATAAAAAGAATAACATCAAAAAGTTGGTTAGGTATATGGAACAATTATACAAATAAAATAAGATTGGTACACATATTTCTAGTTTATTTCTATACTGAATTTATTTTATTTTATAGTCTTATATATTATAAATGTATTATAATATATAAAGTATACTATAAATAGTAAAATTACAATAAGAAAATCATTATTCTCGATTTTGATTCAGCTTCATCGTACTGCGCAGGCGCAAATATATTTTGTATTCCTTATTTTATTTTACGAAGTACTTAAACAGCCGTTAAACGGTAGCCTACTAAAATGCCGTTAATAGATATTGTGACGTCGTTCATGTCGGCGGAAAGTAATGCCTACCCTTAAGCATTTTGCAAGAGCACCTGTGGGTCAGTGGCTGAGGCTATCGCTTCGTAAGCGAATGGTCCGTGGTTCAAATCTCACGCCGACCAAGCTTTTTTATATTTTTTTTTTGCTTATAGCGTGATCTTATTGCATTGGTTTCACTCTTTTTGGTGGCGGGTTGGTTAGCGTGGTTATTTGGAGGGTGTTAATTCATTGGTAAGTTGGTTATTTGGTGGGGTTGGTTGATTTTTACTAATTTATATTTGTTTTTTATATTTTTTATCAGTGTCGAGGTTAGTTGCGTTGGTTAAGTTGGTTATTTCGTGGGGTGGATAGCGTTGGTTAGTCCTTAGAAAATTCCTATATTTCATAAAGCCGTCAAGTGCGTCACATCAACGACGTCATACCTATTAACGGTATTTTAGTAAGCTACCGTTTAACGGCAGTTTAAGTACAGGCTTTATTTTATTTGGCTGTATGGACGCTCACAAATACGAATTCCTTTTTTGTTATTTTATTTTATTTCTATGTTCGAACTCCCTAGACCGATTTTTTTTTTCGTAAAATGGTCCTTCTAGTATTTACATTTTTTGTCTCTTGTAAAAAAACGTCACCGCGCATACTTTTTGAGGAAAAATATTATTTTTCCCAAGCTGCCTACCAAAAAATGGTTTTTCTACAAACGTCAGTAAAAATGTAATTTTTAAGGCATGCTGTCAGTGCCTAAAATGTGACATTATGTCCCTGATGGTAAAAGTCATTTACTTTTAGCACTGGTGCTAAAAGTAAGTCACGTGATTTACTTTTAACACTGAAGCGATAATTACCCTAGCAACCATAAACTTCATAATTAATTTGATTTCAGAATGACATATTATGAATTATTCATTAACGTGAAAAGTAATAATACCTTGATATATACGAGCATAAACTTGTTTGTAGAAAAAATAGTGTATGATATGTGTGCTAAAAGTGATTTTATCTTGTTCAAAGGGATGGGACACGACGCCGGAGGCTTCCCTTCTCACAAAATAAAATACCACTTTTAGCACTCATATCATAAATAACTATTTTGTCCCATGAAGCTATGGCATGGAGGGGCAGAAAATGTGAATATTATTTTAATTTTTTTTGTTCTTTGACATTGTAAACATTTATATATGTTTATTTTAACAATAAGACTGACAATATTATTTGTATAATGTTTTGTATTATCTTTTGTTTGTTTGTTTGTGTACCTTGTTATTTTTTACTTTGTTTGTTAGTTTACCTTTGTCCACAAATTGAAAAACTTTTTGACAATAAAGGCATTTATTTATTTATTTATTTATTTAACTTATTTTGATTCAAAGAATATGCAGTTTTTCTATGTCCACGGAATATTGGAACTCCCTGTATTTTTTGTAGGTCTGCTATGGAAAAATAAATTCCACAAAAAATGTTTTCTCAAAAATTATGCGATGTGGCGTTTTTTTACAAGAGACAAAAAATGTAGTATATACTAGAGAGACCATTTTACGAAAAGAAAATCTGTTGTTGGTGGAGTTGAAAAAGATTTATACAAAAATTTATGTAGGGGTGGGGGTGTGTCACCCTTCCTGTATTTTTTCTTGGTTCTTGTGACAGTCAAATGTTAAAACGCTTATCAAAACACTGACACCCAAAATTTCATTCAAATCGGAATAACAGTTCTTAAGATATCCGAGAATATATGTTTATTTGATTATATCAGTTTGACGCCCTCTAGCGGATAAGCAAAGTACTTTTGTATAGCGATTAATTAACCAATGAACTTATTTTGATTTCAAAAATACGTAGTAGTTCTATGTCCACGGAATATTGGGACATCCTGTATATTTCTTTTACATATTTATGCTATAACACGACATAGTTACACATTCTTAAATTATAATGTAAGTTGCCTAATTTACCCAATGGAATGCACTAAAAGTAAAATTAGTACTTTGGCATATTTATAATAGAACTGAAATATACAGGATTGGCAAGATCTGGCTTTGGGTGCCGATACGAAGAGTACAGTCAATACACTCAATAATAAGATGTACCGAACAAAGAGAGAAAAGTAAATATTTTCCCAAGCGCATGAAACAAAGCGCCCGATTAAGTGGTTATGTAATAAATACTTCGCATTTTCTCTCTCCAACTTACAAGAACGTCATACCGATTCACTTTTAGATTCTAGACATGTAAATACCGACCCAAGACTGTCTTTTGCCAATATTGTATATGTTTTTGATTTCAGTTCTATAAAGGACAATTAAATCAGTTTATTCAAAAACCTTACTTCGTTTAATTATTAAAACATGTGTTTTTACTGAATAAAAAAATATAAATTTTTGTGACATTTCTCTACACTGAACAAACACTTATATGCATAGCCAAAGTACCAATATTACCCATTTCTATTAAATCATCCTTACAACACTAATCAGATCATTCGAAAAATTCATAACCACAAATGCCAAAATGTAGTGAGAGTGATGTATGTGATACCGTCAACCACCCAATCTAACCCTTACTAAGTACGTGGCTACTTTTTAACTAGGCTTGCTATCCTGTTAAGGTGAGGCCTTACTGTGCTATTAAGGGCGGCCAAGGGCGAAGAGGGTGCGGGCGAGGGGGGCGGTAGTAAGTTATTGTTTTGCGGTGTAGACGTCAGATGCTGCTCCTTCAAAACCTGCTCTTTGGCTCCCCTATATATACAGGAAAAGTAAATATTTACAATGTCTGTAAGGTGAGAGAATATATGATTTCGACAAGAAATGCGAAAATGAAAAATAATCTATTTTTGAACTGAACTGCTATGAAGCAACTATCATGTATTCTATCGCTGGACAAGCTATACTAGACTTGGGCCGATTTTATAAGAATGGTCGTACCAGGCAGCAGATTAAATATTTATTTCTGATACAATGTGACAGATAAAGTTTGGATGATAGGAGATTTTTCTTTATTTATTGTTTTAAGTGAAATTTGACGTCAATTTATTTTTTATTTCTAGGTAAGTATACCAATTATGAAACTTCCAAAGGAAATTTCTTCGTAATTTTTAACCAATGCAGCCTTTTGTTGCTTTTGTCGTGGTGGTAGCTAAAATATCCGATGGTAATCCGCTTGTCAGTCAAATTTTAGCTAGTGTTAATATATTTAGTTGAACGTTTTGTATAAATTATGTAGTAATTCTTAATGAATAATTAATTTTTGTTGTTAAGGTTTCCTTAAAAAATAGAGCACGCTATTGTAGTAAAGGGCAATGTACAAGCAAACAGTTTTATCAATAGGCCATGACAAATATATATTTTTTTAATATTGTGCAAAAAAATTTCCATAAATGGAGAAGTTATTCATATTTTGCATCACTTAAGTGAAACTCTTTTACAACTATATATTTTTTCTTTTCAAACTAGATGACTGAAAATTGGCTTACTTATCTAAAATTAAAATGTATATAAATAGATAAACTATTCTTATGGAAAATCATATCAGATTTTTTTATCAGTAGTATAAGTAAAAGCCTGGTTGATTATAAAACTTTTTGATCATGCGATATTTTCTGATAAAGTATTGGTATCTGGAAAGTAGTATAGGCCCAAATCTGTACTACAGTATGATCGAAAAAAAAAACGGCGTTCAGTTGGCTAGGGAATGATGATTGATGACATTCCACATAGGTAGAATTTTACATATAAAATGAAAGTGATCTTCGTTTCATAGCCATCGCTGAGGTGTTTTTTTTTTCGATCATATTGTATATCTAAGCAATAAGCATTACCTCTCAAGCATTTTCAATATTAAGCATTTTTAAGCTTGATTGCAATTTTAATTCCCGTTTACTTTCTAAGCTAATAATTGTGTAAATTTATAATATTTACACTCATTTAGTATTAGTGATGGGCATTACTGTTTGGTGAATAGATTTAAATGATTCGGTTTCTCAAATTGAATCAACTCCTACGATTCATTCATTTGAATGAACTATGTATATAGGTAGGGATTTTACATTCTATAGAGACAAAAATTGTAACTGTGACTAGAAGCCACAATTCATTTCTAAGAACTGTATTCAGAACGATGAATCGATTCTCACGATTTCTTCTATTACTCGTTCAAATAAACGATTCGTTCAATCAATGCCCATCTCCAACTAGCATTAATCATTGACATAGTCTGTTCAAAGAGAGAAATGACAATTTTTACAGACGATATCCAAGAAATTACCAAAAAATGCAATCTACTATTAAATTAAAGTAATGACTACCAACCGTCACTGCCATTCTTTTTTTGGATGGAGCATGCCTAAAATATCATCCACCGAACTTGTGGTACTTTATCCATCTGCAGTTAACTGCTAGTAATTTATAAGCGAAAAAGCAACAAAAATCTAAATCTGTGATACATGTACTCTTGTTTTTTTTAATATAAACTTGCCTGCATAGAAATCGGCCCACTGTAAACTTTTGACTTTAATGTGTCTTTTAGAATCTATTTATCAGATTAAATCTATTTATCAGATTAAGAAAAAAAAAATAAGAGCTGTTTCAAAGACGAAACATTTTGACAGACAAAGAATTTAACATGCTTTAATATGAGTATAAATTTATCCAAAGTACTTATCGTTTATATGCGTAGCAACGGGTAAACAAATGAAAGGCATTTGTGTTGTGGTGACAATAAGAATAAAAAACTTATCAAATATTGCAATTACTACTTTACTGTTACTTTGTAATCGAAATTTGCACATTGTTCTTTCATTGTTTGATTTGTTGTGTTTCATTGTTTGATTAGTGTTTCAATTTAATGCATACATCACGGAAAAAAGCTGCCAAAGTAATCGCTTTAATTGAAAATGGACTTAAACAGAGAGCTGCTGCTAGGCAACTGCATATGACACGCGGAGCGGTTCGAAGAGTGTGTGAACGATATGAGGAGACTCGATCCTTTCGTAGGCGACCTGGAACTGGTGGAAAGAGATATACAACGGATCGTGATGACCGCTTTATTGTGTCAACAATATTAAGAAATCGGCATCTTAATGCTATTCAGGTGCAACAACAGCTCCGTGAAACACGGGGAGTGACTGTTAGTCAGAGGACAGTAAGACGAAGATTGAAGGAAAGTAGCATGACCCCCAAAACACCCGCAATTGGTCCAAAACGTACCCCAGCTCATTGTCAAACACGCCTGCCTTTTGCACGGAACATCTGAATTGGCAATTAACAATGGGAATGTGTTTTATTCTCAGATGAGACCAAGATATGCTTCTATGGTAGCGACCGAAGAAGAATTTTCAGAAGAAATTCCAGAGGCCAGATGAGCGATTCGCAGAATGCTGCATTGAGGAGCGGATTGCTTATGGAGGTGGTTTCTGCATGATCTGGGGTACAATTTCTATGACTGCGCGAACCGACCCGGTTTTTATCCGTTGGGACGACCGTCGGCATGGGAGAGGAGGTTTAACTGGTGCTAGGTATGCTGAGGAGATTTTAGCAGTTCATGTGGTACCTTACGTCGACTACATTGGAAGCGAATTCACTTTTATGCATGACAATGCGAGAGCACACACATCAAGAATCGTACACGATTACATTTCAGAAGTCGGTTTTCGGGTTATGGAATGGCCAGCATGCAATCCAAACTTAAACACGATAGAACATTTATGGGATGACCTAAAACGAAGGATTCGTACTAGACAAAGAGCCCCAACCTCTATTCCAGAGCTCATTGTTGCAGTATAAGAAGAGTGGCTGAACATACCGCAAGCAACAATATCAAACTTGATTGAATCTATGCCAAACTATATGAGAGATGTTGTAAGAGCAAGAGGGAGTCATACCCATTATTGAAAATTTATTTTAGTTAATTGTCAATCAATAAATAAATAAATAATGGCATACATCTTAGTAATAAAAAACGATAATAATTTGTTTCATGCATTAATTTAATAATTTTAATCCAAAGAAACCGAAATACAAATTAATATCTCTAAACTCTTTTCAAAGAATATAAAATTGTCTTTCAAACAGTATATATTTTTTCTTAATCTGACAAATATATTCTAAAAAATATATAGTTTGCTTCAAAAGTTTGCCTTGGGCTGATTTCTATGCACGCAAGTGTATTTACGCACACACATTTTGCATATAAAGTAAACGTAAAACAATATCCAAATCAGAGACCTAAATATATATCCCTTCAAAGGCGTTAAATATAAGCAGTATTGCCAGACTAAACAATTTTTTTGATGTTTATTTTATTACATCATTTGAAGTTTCCACGAATTTAGGAAATAAACAAATAACAGAAGCCTTGAAAAAAACAATTCAAATGCAATCAATTTTTAGATAATTTTAGACTGAATAAGTGTTTGTTATGAATGTTCACTAATGAAATGAACTAACATAAGAATTATAATGCAGTGACATTGGTTTATGATGTATTTATCTATAAAATTTTATTTTGCAGGCATTTTTTTACATGTAGCAATATATTGATGTGCAACGGAAATCGTTTTACATTAACTTTACACATTTATCGCTCAATGAATAAAAAGACTAAAGAAGGAAAGATTCAACAAACTTGGCGATACTGTAAAGGTATTTCATTATGGTTGACCAAACTTCCGGAAAACCAGTGGCGTGCTATTTTTAAATGTTAAAATACTATTAAATTACTTGCTAGTGAAAAGATGTTCTGATTCAATTCCTTGTCAGTAGTAGAAAAAGAAAAGTACAAGAAATAATATACACAGAAAAGAACCAGAAACAAACAACAATTTTAAGAAAATAATATAATAAAACAGAACTGACAAAAATTCTGTTGCCTCTGTGTGTATTAAAATATTATTTGTTTTGACTCTTTCCTTAGTCATTTTATTCAATGTGCTAACTACATTTCATGTTAAATGTATTAAATAAAAAGCTTCTATACTTATCTAAACTAACCAAGGATACAACAAAAAATAATAAATTAAAAAAAATGTGTATGTATAAAATCTAAGACTTACAGGTATCTAGTCAGATCTTCAATATCAACCAACATTGAATCCTGTTCCATGTGCAGGTCGTCCCTGTCCATCAAGAACTTCACCAACTGTTCATTGAGTGTTTCTATTTGAGTGTGCAAATCGTTAACAATAACTTGTAGTTGCGCCACGTTCATTTCGGTCAGGATTTGTCTGGATAGTCGGCGTTTCTCCTCAGGAAATGGAATGCCTACCTTCTCCAAACTGTGACGTACCATTTCGGTGATGGGAGATTTTTTCTGTTTTTGTCTTTCAATCTGCATAATAAAAATAAAGTTTATACTTAAATTTTATTTAGGCATTATTCAGAACCGCGCAATTAGTGGTTTCAATTAGCGTAGAAGTTTGACGAATTTCAATGTAAGCATTCAGAACGTCAAAATTAATGGTAGACATTTTCAATTCGTTGAAAAAGTTTTCAAACTTTTAACTTTTCCACAAATTATACCTTAAAATTTGCTAGAAATGCCATTTTGGCCTTTGATTATCTTCCGTCAAGAGAAATTGTGGTTAGAAATCAAAAGTTGATTGTTTTATCAGCTAAATATTAAGCTTTCTCTATGGATACAACTGACTAATGCAAGCTGTTGCTAGCATATTCTATTCATTTTAATTGTGTTTTTTAAACATTGCGAATGATTGTAAACTAAAAAGTATGAAGTATAATTGAAACCACTAATTTATTCCACTAATTGCGACGTTCTGAATGAAGCTTTAGAGTCTAAAGTCTAGTCTTAAGTCTAAAGTTTAGACTTAAGACTAGGCGCTCGAGAATTGACGCTGGGGAATTGAGCAAACAATAGTACTTATGGAGCCGGTTGGCCGACTATAGCGAGTGTTTCTAAACAGGGCATTGTAAGCTGTATAGGCATTTAAAGCTAAAGGGATTGACGGTCGAAGCCATGTGCAGGTCAATCTGAATAAGAAACGACAGAACACATTTTATGTCGGTGCGACAGCCTGGTAAATGTGCAGGTCTCAGTAATAAGCAATGATAGGCCATTGCCAGATAGTTACATGGAGGGTTCAGTCTCCAAGTTGCTAGACTTTGTGAAAAGGATAGGACTGGAGAATGTAACCTAAGGATCAGAAAAGGACCATGATAAATCTTGAAATGTAGCAGTGGATCAGGCCGACAGCCGCCTCGAAGAATCTATAGAGGTGGTTTTTAAAAGTTGCTATAACCAAAAGAAGTAACTCTGATAGAATGGTTTTTTACCCCTATACCTAACTTTTTTTTTCACATAAATTAGTTCCCTCTACATAAAGATCCACTAACGGGAGTCCACTTAGATTGGAAAACCTGGAGAACACTTAATAGAATTAGGACCGGCGCGGCGTTACTCCAGTAAAAGCCAACCTGGTGAAATGGTGTATAAATCAGAATGGGGACATCCAATGTGAATGCGTTGAACATAACCAAAGTAAAGTAAGTTCTTCAACAGAAGATTCAAGTTGTCAAGAAGAGTCAGTTGTTAGATTTTATTTATTAAATGGCATTTATGGACCGATGTTTATAGCAACATTTTTCATATTTTTTGATGAGCAATTATCCCGTGAAATTTAGCTGTGCAATTTTTGAACACCCCGTATGTATAAGAAAATAATGCTCATACCTCCATTTGCATCCTTGCCATTTCTTTGGCTTGTGCCAATGCCATTCTTGCCTCCGTTTGTAGCCTAGCTTGCTTAGTAAAAAAGTCTGTCTCAGATGTAGCAGCACCTAAAAGAAGATTAACAGTATTTTTTTGTCAGAAAAAAAATTTCAAGTGTAAACTCAGATGGAAAAAAAGGAACGCAAGTTGATTTCGCTCTTAAAAATTAATCAAGGCATGTATTGACATGATCCAAAAAGCAAAATACTCAGGAGACATAATTCTGCCAGAAAAATAATGTTTTAGGAAAATTTGTCCACGAAATTATTGCACAGGGTGTTTTGAATTTAGGGTAAAAAACAACTATTCGATAATTCCTGTAAGATAAAGCCCAATAGTAAAGTTTATAAAAAACTGAGCTTAGGAATCAAAGTTGATATATTTATATACAGTTTACCAAAAATTCATGAAAATTGGGCTAAAAATAAAAAAAAGATAACACTTTAAAGTTGATGAAATTTTTTCCGTTACATTTTTTTTGCATATGAGTGTATAAAGAGAACAAGCTCAAACAAAATGAAAATTAACATCTAGTAATACAAGAAAAATCTACAGTATCAAGTAATATAATAAAAAATATATATTTTTTTACCTATTTGTGGTGGTGGAGCTGGATGTAAAGATAGTGTTGCAGGCCTTTGGACAGGTGCAGGGACATTTGTCAAAGCATGATTTACATTCGAGTTTTGTTTGGTTTTCTGCTGCTTAGGATTGGTAAGTGGACATTCATTATCTGAAGTAGGACTCTCATTGTCCGACACCGTCTCGTTCATGAAACATATCTGAAGATTCATACCTATAAAAATAATTTTTATTTTATTACTTCCGAAGAATTAGAAGAGATTCTGTTGTATTAAAAAATAACATTTAGCGGTTATTTTCTCAATACAATAAAATCTCTTTTAGACCTGATATTATGGTAAGATAATTACAATATATCAATCTATTTTTTGGAAATTTGAAGATTATTTTCCATCGCAAATTTTAAAAATATTTTGATGGGTATACAGGGTGATTCAAGTGTATTACAGGGTGATTGAAGTATATTTTCTACTAGTTGAAGCCTCATCATCAGGAAAAAAATACATTTTATTTATTTTTAATTAAATAAAAAACAAAAAATCCGGCGACGACAGTTTTTAGAAGAGCCAATTAGCTATCTTTTAGTAAAAAAAAGCAACTTTCTAGAGCAAGTCGTTACTTCAGTAGAGACGACACAGATAAACATTAGCATAATATGTAGACTAGTTAAAGCCTGGCGCATCCGCCACGACATCGACATTGACATCAGGAAAAAAATACTTTTTATTTTTTATTTTTTTTTAATTAAATGAAAAACAAAAAATCCGGCGACGACAGTTTTTAGAACAGCCAATTAGCTATCTTTTAGTAAAAAAAGCAACTTTCTAGAGCAAGTCGTTACTTCAGTAGACACGACACAGATAAACATTAGCATTTTATATATGTAGATGGTATGTTGTATATTTTTTCATGCAATGGATATGATTTAAAATTATGATCCCAAAAATTCCTGTCATAATTTTTTATACTGAGTGTATTTTAAAAAACTGAAGAATGTCATAGATGTTCATTTCCAAGCCAACTGGACGCCGTTTTCTTTTCGATCATACGGTATATTTGAATCATCCTATACCTCTATGAAAATACCAAACGATCGAAAAAAAAACGGCGTCAGCAATGGCTATGAAATAAAGATTGCTGTCATTTTATATGTAAAATTATATGGGAAATGTCATCAATCGTTATTTCCAAGCCAACGGGACGCCGTTTTTTTTTCGATCATACAGCCTACTTTTAAAAGTGTACTACCATTGTAACCCATCATTTAAAAAAGGTTTGGTTTGGTTTGACCTATGGTCATGGGCGCCGGAAGAATGAAATTTAGGGGGGTGCAAGGTAAAAATGAATAAAAAATTGGCATTTTTGGTAATTATTGGGAAAACTGGAAATCGTCCGATTTTCACCAAAATTGGTATACACCCTATTTTGAAGTCGCAGATTACGAATCTGAACTTACTTCTCTTACCGTTTTTCAGAAAAACGGAAAATAATTTCAATATCGAATTTTTCTTAATTTCTCATATTTTTAAGATTTTCTAGCACATATTTTGTTAGGCATTCAATAATCAATAATGTTTTTGCTATTTTCTGTTACTTTTTTAACCAATTCTATGCATAATAGAGGAAAATTTGCTAAAATAAATTTGTAAACAATCTGAAAATGTTAGATTATAGCTTTGTTCCGGTTCTTGTTATTACCGATTCTGAACCGTCCAAGAACTCTGCAGCGCATGCGCAAATGAAATAATGTCTTCATATTTCCTTCTGCGCATACGCATCACAGTTCTAGAACGGTTCAGAATCGGTAATAAGAGAAACCCGAAGTAAGTTTATGTGTTTCACTAATTTATTCCACTAATTGCGACGTTCTGAATGAAGCTTTAGAGTCTAAAAGTCTAGTCTTAAGTCTAAAGTTTAGACTTTTTTTAAGACTAGGCGCTCGAGAATTGACGCTGGGGAATTGAGCAAAAACAATAGTACTTATGGAGCCGGTTGGCCGGACTATAGCGAAAGTGTTTCTAAACAGGGCATTGTAAGCTGTATAGGCATTTAAAGCTAAAGGGATTGACGGTCGAAGCCGTGTCAATGTGCAGGTCAATCTGAATAAGAAACGACAGAACACATTTTATGTCGGTGCGACAGCCTGGTAAATGTGCAGGTCTCAGTTATAAGCAATGATAGGCCATTGCCAGATAGTTACATGGAGGGTTCAGTCTCCGTTGCTAGACTTTGTGAAAAGTTATGGGGACTGAGAATGTAACTCCAGGACTGTCAGAAAGGATTTCATGATAAATCTTGGAAATGTAGCAGTGGATCAGGCCGACAGCCGCCTCGAAGAATCATAGAGGGGTGGCTTTTTTAAAAAAGGGCAACCACCAAAAGAAGTAACTCAGATAGAATGGTTTTTTGCCCCTATACCTAACTTTTTTTTCAGATAAATTAGTTCCCTCTACATAAAGATCCACTAACGGGAGTCCACTTAGATTGGACAACCTGGAGAAACACTTAATAGAATTAGGAACCGGCGCGGCGTTGCTCCAGTAAAAGCCAACCTGGTGAAATGGTGAATAAATCCCAAATGTGACATGCAATGTGAATGCGTTGAACATAACAAAAAGTAAAGTAAGCTCTTCAACAGAAGATTCAAGTTGTCAAGAAGAGTCAGGTTGTTAGATTTTATTTATTAAATGGCATTTATGGACCGATGGTTATAGCAACATTTTTCATATTTTGATGAGCAATTACCCGTGCGGAAATTTAGCTGTGCAATTTTTGAACACCCCATATGTATAAGAAAATAACAGTCATACCTCCATTTGCATCCTTGCCATTTCTTTGGCTTGTGCCAATGCCATTCTTGCCTCCGGTTTGTAGCCTAGCTTGCTTAGTAAAGAAGTCTGTCTCAGATGTAGCAGCACCTAAAAGAAGATTAACAGTATTTTTCTGTCAGAAAAAAAAAAAATTTCAAATGTAAACTCAGATGGAAAAAAAGCAACGCAAGTTGATTTCGCTCTTAAAAATTAATCAAGGCATGTATTGACATGATCCAAAAAGCAAAATACTCAGGAGACATAATTCTGCCAGAAAAATAATGTTTTAGGATGTTTAGGGTGTTTTGAATTTAGGGTAAAAAACAACTATTCGATAATTCCTGTAAGATAAAAGCCCAATAGTAAAGTTTATAAAAAACTGAGCTTAGGAATCAAAGTTGATATATTTATATACAGTTTACCAAAAAATTCATGAAAATTTGACTAAAAATAAAAAAAAAAGATAACACTTTAAAAGATTGATGAAAATTTTTTTTCGTTACGTTTTTGCATATGAGTGTACAAAGAGAACAAGCTCAAACAAAATGAAAATTAACATCTAGCAATACAAGAAAAATCTACATTATCAACAATATAATAAAAATATATATTTTTTTACCTATTTGTGGTGGTGGAGCTGGATGTAAAGATAGTGTTGCAGGCCTTTGGACAGGTGCAGGGACATTTGTCAAAGCATGATTTACATTCGAGTTTTGTTTGGTTTTCTGCTGCTTAGGATTGGTAAGTGGACATTCATTATCTGAAGTAGGACTCTCATTGTCCGACACCGTCTCGTTCATGAAACATATCTGAAGATTCATACCTATAAAAATAATTTTTATTTTATTACTTCCGAAGAATTAGAAGAGATTCTATTGTATTAAAAATAACATTTAGCGGTTATTTTCTCAATACAATAAAATCTCTTTTTAGACCTGATATTATGGTAAAGATAATTACAAATATATCAATCTATTTTTTGGAAATTTGAAGAGATTATTTTCCATCGCAAATTTTAAAAATATTTTGATGGGTATACAGGGTGATTCAAGTGTATTACAGGGTGATTGAAGTATATTTTCTACTAGATGAAGCCTCATCATCAGGAAAAAATACATTTTATTTATTTTTAATTAAATAAAAACAAAAATCCTGCGACGACAGTTTTTGAAGAGCCAATTAGCTATCTTTTAGTAAAAAAGCAACTTTCTAAGAGCAAGTCGTTACTTCAGCAGAGACGACACAGATAAACATTAGCATTTTATATGTAGACTAGTTAAAGCATGGCGCGCATCCGCCACGACATCGACATCAGGAGAAAATTCTTTTTATTTTTATTTTTTTAATTAAATGAAAAACAAAAATCCAGCGACGACAGTTTTTAGAAGAGCCAATTAGCTATCTTTTAGTAAAAAGCAACTTTCTAGAGCAAGTCGTTACTTCAGTAGAGACGACACAGATAAACATTAGCATTTTATATAATTATGTAGATGGTATGTTGTATATTTTTTCATGCAATGGATATGACTTAAAATTATGATCCCAAAATTCCTGTCATAATTTTTTATACTGGAGTGTATTTTAAAAAACTGAGAAGAATGTCATAGATGTTCATTTCAAAGCCAACTGGACGCCGTTTTTTTTCGATCGATCATACGGGTATATTTTGAATCATCCTATACCTCATGAAAATACCAAACGATCGAAAAAACGGCGTCAGCAACGTAACTATGAAATAAAGATTGCTGTCATTTTATATGTAAAATTATATGGGAAATGTCATCGATCATCATTTCCAAGCCAACAGGACGCCGTTTTTTTTCGATCATACAGCCTACTTTTAAAAGTGTACTACCATTGTAACCCATCATTTTAAAAAAAGGTTGGAGTGAAATAGAGAGGGAGTTTTTTTGCCCATGCCCATGGTTGGGGCCTATGGGCACTATTATATTAACTTTTTCATAGTGCTCTTGTTGATCAAAACTTTTGTTCAATAGAACAATCTCTATTACACTTAAAGCTAATTAAGGTAAGTATAAGTAAATGTAAAGGCATAATTACCACTTTGTAATCGTGCTTGTAAACTAGGCTTTCTTCCTGGTCTATCTGTATAGTAGTCATCCTCAGCTCCCATAGCCAGTCTTCTTCGAATTTCCTCCCGATCTGTTCTTCTCTGAAAAAAAAGTAACCCTATATTACTAGATATACAGGGCGTTCATTAATGACATGCTAATATTTAAGGGGGTAGAAAAACTTTTTATGAATGTAGGTATGTTCTAAACATCTTAAGTTTTGAGATACAGGGTGGTAAAATTTAAAATAAAAACCGTTTTCCATAACTCTGATGTAGGGTTCCCAACCGTCCCGGTTTGGCAGGGATTAACCAGGAATCAGAAAGTTTGTCCCGGCGAAAGTTTTGCCTTGGCCGGGACCTAATATTATGTTTTATGTTTAAAAATTAAAAAAGTGTGTACTACACACATAATATATTTTAATTTCTAATATTTAATGTTTTGTTTCAATTATTTAAAAGCTTAAAAATAATTGTCCCAAAATCACCGGTGCTCAAGTTGGAAATCTACTCTGATGGTATTATGATGAAATTTGATACACATCTATGTATAAAAATGTCTTTTTTGAGGTACAAACAATTTTATTTATTTAAAGACATATATGAAGTGATTTTCTTAGAATGGGTCTAAATATCACTCTCTTAAATATTAGCATATCATTAAGGAATAAAGAACATCCTGTATTTGTAGAAGTAATTAGTTATTCAACATGTATCACCATGAGAAAGTCAACATTTAAACCTAATATTCATTCTCAATTTTAAATGTGTAATTACTGAGAATGTAGTACACATTCTTTTCAACATTTAAATATATAAATTATTCTTACATCAAGTCCACTATCATCATTAATAGTTATAACTCTAATAAACCGGTCAATAACATTATGTTCATCATACGAAGGAGGCACATATGGAAACCACTCCATATTCTCATTAACCGAATTATAGTCCATACTAAAAGTCGTCATGGAATAAGCCCTAGGGCTCAAGTAATCACTCTCAAAATAATCCGTATCATCTTTGCGGGCTATCGTGTAATAAGTCGTTTTAGTCCTGTGCGAAAAACTATTCTTTATCGAATTCAAATTATAAGATATTCTTCGTGAAGTTGATTTTACTGTATCAGAGAAATTATTCGTCCGGTTTTTGAGCGCTGATAAAAAGTTATCGAACATTTTCCAAACAAATCACTTAACCGCACTTTCTCGTAAACAACTAAACACAATCGGAATCACAGCCTAGTGCGACGGATAATTATTGTGTGGACGTTTAAACTGAAGGCAGGAAATCGAGTCGCATTTGATTTTCACCGGGACGAAGCAATTTCGTCAGGTGTGCATTTGTTTTGGCACATGTTTGCTTTGTTTTGTTTTATTTTCAGAGTTTTTTTTCCATTTGTGTGGTGTCTGTCGGACAAAGAGCGATATATTGTCGTTTTGTGCTAGAGAGAAAAAGAGATCTTTGTAAACACCTGGAAAATTTCCTATCACCTGTTCATTCCATTAAGAGTTACGTTATTCAAATTCAGATGGCGCGGAGGGTTAAAGAAATTTGCGCCATGATTTTAAAATTGAAGAAATTCAGCTAAACGCCCAAGATGAGGGTATAATTTTTGTTTTAAAATATGTTATTATACTTACACTTTCATCTAAGCTTTCCACGGTTTCATTTTCATCGAATGTTAGTGTATATAGGTCGTTGACATATAAACTGTCTTTTTTGTATTCCCTTTTTCTCTTTAACGAAGTCATTTCCGTCATTTGTAACTTAATTTGAGGCGTACTGCATTAAAATACAGCGTGGCTTAATAAAAAAGACGTCACACTAGGCGCAGAAATATAATTTGAGGTTGAACGTTACTATGTCCCTTGATTATGTATGTCTATTATTGTCTATAGTTGAAATTTTCCTAAAATTCTGCTTATTATTGAGCATTCTTTATTCATAAATAATATTATAATAGTTTAGAACTACCTATTTGACATATTTGGCAAATTTTTGTATCAATTCTACACATTTTTTATACAGGGTTTTTCAAAAAACATGTGCCATCTCTCGTGGGGAGATTCTTCACGTAAAAATAAGATTTATTTTTCGTATCAACATACCGGGTGCGTCTTAAAAGTGGCTCACCCCTATAACTTTTTTATTTTTTTCAGATAAAACAACGAGGTTTGGTATGTTATTAGTATATGACATAAATTGGGATTGATTGATGTATTCAATTGTTTTCGGTCATTTCCGGTTTTACCGGAAATTACTACAACTTTTGATTTTTAAATGGCACCCTCGGTATTTTTTTACTTTATTTGATAGAAAATGACACTCTGAATCGAATGACATATCATATGTCAATTTTTGACATAGTAACTCAAAAACAAATTCTATTTTAAATTTCAATCTAGAGTGCCATAGCTGTGTTAAAAACACTAATTTTTAATCAAGGAGCCTTGGAAAAATAGATTTGGTCGTCTAATGTTTTTAGTGTCTTATTTTGGCCGGTTAAAAGATGCCCAAATCGTATTTTTAATCATATCTCAAATTTTTCAAATGGAACGAGGGTGGTTCATTAGCATATTTGAAAAAAGCATTTTTTTACGAATAATTTGATACCACACACTTGGTATTTTGAGTCAAATTGTCGTTATGAACCGCATGTTACAATTTCAAATAAACAGTATGCCAAAATGTCAAAAGTTGACATATGATATGTCATTCGATTCAGAGTGTTTTCTATCGAATAAAGTAAAAAATACCGAGGGTGCCATTTAAAAATCAAAACTTGTAGTCATTTCCGGTGAAACCGGAAGTGACCGATAACAATTAAATACGTCAATCAATCCCAATTTATAGAGAACAACGGTATACGGTCGAGTCGGCCGCTGCTGGCACGTATACGTAGACGAAAGAATCTTTTACGTGTATAAAAAATAAAAAATACAAGAAATGCGCATGCGTACGTAAACGATTACGTGTTTGTAGGCCGACTCGACCGTATACCGTTGTTCTCTTATGTCATGTACTAACATACCAAATATCGTTGTTTTATCCGAAAAAATAAAAAAGTTATAGGGGGTGAGCCACTTTTGAGACGCACCCGGTAGGTCCGATTCTGCTTTGTTTCGTAGCTACAGGGGGTTAAAGTCTTTAATTTTTTTCGATTTATTATAATTTTCTTCCAAGTGCTTTTAGCGATTTGAATGACATTTTGAGGGCAAAAGTTTACTGTAAGTGTTACATAATTCTAATGCTAAAAAAGTGTCGACAGGTTTACCACTTTCACCAGGGACGTGCATATGGGTTTTAACTAAAATATGTTTCTAAAAAAAACACGTGCGCCCCTGATTTTTTATCTTTTTAGCAAAATTGTGTAGGCCGGCGTTTAATTATAAATTTATCATAATTAATAAATTATTTATTTAACCTAATTTATTATTAAAAATTATTCAAATTTTTAACACTGATATTCGGTGCTATTTACAGCAAATTAAAAAAAAATATGTACTGGTATTTAATACCGTATGATCGAAAAAAAAAACGGCGTCCAGTTGGCTGGGAAATGACGATCGATGACATTTCCCATATAAATTTACATATAAAATGACAGCGATCTTCATTTCATAGCCATCGCTGACGCCGTTTTTTTTCGATCATACGGTATAATTACAATAAAAAAATATTTTTAAAAGTTTTAGCATCCTGTATCTTTTGAAAACTATGCATTTACGGGCCCGTGTTACGTGTGTGAAACTTTTTTCATATTTTTTAATGAGGATAATTATACTACCATCAGTATGATTCCGGATTGTGTTTACAAGAGGAAAAACTTTTTTATTATTAACATTTTAAGAAAAATGCATTCTTCATAAAGATTTTTGCTTGTTCTAAAATGGTTAATCCCGTTTATACTTTTCAAAATTCAAATTTCTATACCGTTTTAGAGAAAATTGAAAAAAAAAAACACGAAAATATGGTCCCAAAAACCAAAAAGCGTTTCTATGGAAATATAATTTCGATTTCATTCTTTGATAGATGGTTATTATTAATTTTGATTAACGTGATATCATAGATAAAGGAAATAAATTTAGATTGGAATGCCCGTCAAAATTTTGGGTCGCTACCTTTTTGTACGCGATCTGGCGCTGCTATAGCGGTTGCTAAGAACAACCGCAAACAAAAACGGAAATAGTTTTCACTTGTCCATATCTCTTGTCAAAGTCAAAATCTTCAAAACTTATAAAATCTTTCAAAATCTAAACCGCTCTCATTGGAAAAATTCCGAAAAGTGTTTAAAGCGTCCATTTTGAAAGTAATTATTGCTATCTTGTGAGTTTAATTTAAGTTTTATTTACTCAAACCCGTGATAATTGTGAAAAAGTGGCATTAAAAACTTAAGAAGCTGTGCTGTGAACTGTAAACTGTAAAACCATCGTGGATCGTGGTATAATGTCGGTTTTGCGATGTTTCATAGGTATTTTATACATGCCTCCTTATATAAAATAAAGTTTCTTGTATGCAACACACTGTATTTTATTTATAAAATTAAAAGAACATAAAAATAAATTTGAATAAACAATATTTGACGATATAATTCCGGAAAAAGCCGAACCGCTCCGAAATTTTCAAAAGCTTTGGGTCGCGGCAACGGTCGCGGGGACATACTGTATACCGGGGACATACTGTATATCAATATATAGGAAAACTCTCGTAATTTTTTCTATAGACATTGTAAAACTCGAAGAAAAACGTTTCTACGCAAACTGTGACGTCATTTCCATCTGACCGTACGGTATATTTTCATAATACATACGTGACGTAGATAAAATAAAATCAATTGTTTTATAACCGTAATTAAAAAGAAAACTCTCACTAAAACCGACGGACATATAGAAATCAGGTCAAGTCCTCCACAATATTGCACACACGCGGCACTTTGACACAAAAGCGATAGAAATTTTGCCAAACTCTTGTTTTTCTTTTGGAAAACTCTACGGGAAATGGGGCTATTATGTTGCGGCGGTCGCATTAACCGAGGGCCACGTTTGTACTGATGAGTTGCAGTTAATTTTTCCACAAAATTTACTTTTCCAAACGGACCG